CGGGTGAACCGCCACGCACATGCACTTCAATGTTCATGCCTATTTCCTCGTTCTTCACATAGACCTTATCTTCGTTATCCCATTGGATAGCCCTATAATGACCTTAACGTAGCTTAGCTCTCCTCCTTTAATTTGAGAATAGGGTTTCCTACCTTCCACAATCGTTGAGCTGGGCAGCTCCTCGATAAAACATCTCTCTTCGTCAGAGTCAAGGTAGAAATGAAGTCCCCAGACGTTCCAGCTAGTAGCAAATAATAATCCAAGGACCGGTAGAATTCGCATGATTTTTTGGAAAAAGTAGGTGCAGGGTCGGACCGGAGTGAAAGTGTAACTTGAAGCTCGCCAACTTGATCACTAGCCTGAGACCGCGCCCTTTCTGCTTGCATGAGCGCACGATCAAGCTCATCATCTCCCTCACCTGGGGTCAATGGAGAGTCCATTTCAGGTCCGCACAGTCCGCCGCCGGATGAGAATAGAGGCCGTTCGAGAACGAGACAGCCAGTGCCAGTGGCCACAACCCAACCCAGTGGTTATCATACGTTTCATTCTATGGGGCGAAAGTTTACTGTAGAATCAAGATGGAAACTTGTACGTCTCATTTGCTTGTTTTTTCGTGTCCGGGTTCTCAAGTGGCCGTTTCAGGTCAGAGAAATGGGTATCGGCGCGTTCGGGGCCGTTGTCTGCGCGCAAGATACGATATCCGGGGAACATGTAGCTGTAAAGCAGATTAATAGGGTCTATGAAAAAGTGTGTCTCGAATAACCATTTTGTACCGTGCCACACGCTGACTCCCTTTCTTAGCCTGATTTGGCAAAACGAGTGCTGAGGGAGATAACATTGCTTAGGCACTTTCAAACACACGATAATGTGCGTAATTCCAAATTAATTTATCCCTACTGACATTCGTACAGGTTACCGGCCTAATTGACTTAGACTCTCTTTCAAAGCTTTCTAATGAGATGTACGTTTGGTCTCCCCGTGTACTGTCTTTCTTTACTGATACCTCTTCTCTGTTCAGCTACATTTTCATGGAGGTGAGAATTCGCCTTCATCGTTAAAAATACGTACTGAGACAGTGCCGCTATAGCCTATGGAGGGTAAGGCCAGATGGGAAAAATGGAATAGGAAACTTACATTTTCCTAGCCGATCTGCATCAAATTATTCGTTCTGGTCAGGATCTTTCGATGGATCACATAGCTTATTTCGTCTATCAAATCGTTAGCGGTGAGTCGTTGCTCTCTTGAGTCCTCTGGTCACTTAATATAAAGTAGCTATGAACTTCATACATGGTTGTCACGTCGTACACCGAGACCTTAAACCTGGGAACATTCTGGTTAACGCAACCTGCGAAATCAGAATATGTGACTTTGGTGAGTATACATATTCCATGACATATTTTAGCTCATTCTTTTTAGGTTTAGCTCGTGGTTACGAAAAGTATTTCGAGGACGGTGAAGAGAAGGTCACTCACATGACAGAATACGTTGCCACCCGCTGGTATCGTGCCCCGGAGATCATGCTCGGCTTCGAAAACTATGACGAAGCGAGTGAGTATATTATCGTCTTCGTTATGTTTGCTCATATAAACAGTCGATATATGGTCTATTGGGTGCATATTTGGTGAACTGTTAAATGGAAAGCCGATCTTTCCTGGGAGAGAGTACGTGATATGTTTCGTAGACCTCACCTTTCTGATATAATTTAGCTATGTGGATCAACTCAAATGCATATTCGAATATTTGGGTAAGTGCTGTCTACATAGTAAAGAATGGAACTCATTCACTCTCCAGGCTCTCCAAACGATGACATTGTTCGGAGGATCGCACGAGGAAGGGTAAACCTATTATTGGAAACGAAGAACCCTGGCTAAATTCTCCTAGGCTCGAAAATATGTTCGCGGTCTGCCAATCTACCGTCCAAAGCCCTTCAATTTCCCGAAAGGAGATGAACAAGGCGAGTACGAGCAATTCCTTTAGGACCAACCCTTACCAATGTGCGGATATTCAGCACTCGACCTCATGTACCAAATGATACGCTATAAACCAGAAGCTCGTATTACCGCAGCTAAAGCATTAGAGCATCCCTGGCTGGCAGCTTTTTACGATCCGGAGGAGGAAGAATGGGGTACTAAACCACAATTATTTACCAGGTGGAGAGAGATCGAGTCGTTGAATACCGTCGAAGAATTTCGAGAAGCAATCTGGGAAGAAATCCAGGTGGGTGTCTATATCATGGGGTCAATAGAAGTCCTGTTTCTCATATTTGTCGTAGGAATATCGTACGCAAGCCCGTTCGTTGGCAGAACATTCGATGTCTCCAGTTGCATCTCTGAGACCGCCTGTCCCCACTGTGCGAGAACCGATACCTGAAGAACCCGAACCCGATGAATTGACCGAATCAAACGAACCTCCCCTCACTCCGGAACCTCCAAAGATGGCACTAGACCGTCGACTAAATGTAGCATAAGGATCTGGGTGCTGTGATATCTTCCTTGGTCTGGGAATTGGCAC